TGCATCCAAGTGCCTTCTGGAGCAAAGTCATGCGTTTTTGTTCGAGAAATATCCATGTTTATAACTTTATAAACTATAATCACCGGCTTCTGGTAACGGCTGCACGTGAGTCGAGGTCTGGCAGGAGAGTGACCTCTGATCCGATGCATTTTTTACCCGACGATAACTATAATCTCAAGAAAAATAAATTTGGCTGCATTTACACTGCAAGTCCTAATGCACAGGTTGAATATTTTGACCCTGATCCAATGTTTTGTCCCACCTGTTGACATCTACTTAAGATAAACTAACTGTGCGTAAATTTAAGGGATAGTTTACCCAAAAAATACAATGTGTCATCATTTACCGACTCTCGTCATTTCAATTTGTGAACTCTGAATCATTGAAGATACGAAAATGTCTGAATTGAGAGGGGATTTAAATAATAAATGAATGAAGCTGATTCTGTTTTCCCTGCATCTATTGTGTGTCGAAGCAATTATAACAACAGAAACTTGTGATCTGATATCATTCTTCAAAACTGAATGAGTTTGTTATTTGTGCTGCTGGGAAAGAAGGACAATGTTGTGGTGGTTTTTTTTCTGGCATTTTCCCCGGCTGGCTTTGTAAGGATGAGACAATAGAGCACCGCCAGCAACTGGGTCTGTGATACTGCCCTTCACAACAAAAACACATTAAACCGAAGCATCTGGAATATCATTTTTATGAGTCTCTGCCACAAAATAACCTTTTTATATTTATCCATTGGACATATTTCTTTTAGTAGACGAATTAGGCAACCAGAACATGTGCTTGTTATGGCTTTATCTCTGCTGTCCTGAGCATTTACAGCCTCATCATGGAAACACTGTTCTTGTTACATGCACATAAAACAATTTGTAAAACATGTAAAAATTAGTTTGTGACACTGCAGGATCATGTAATGATGAAAAAGTTATGCTGATTCATTTAAAAAAAAAAGAAAAAAGTTTCTGGCGACAGGACCTAAGATATCCTTTATACATTGATTTACATTTTAATCTAAAATTTACATTTACACTTTAATTCAAAAGTTTGGGGGCAGTACGTTTTTATTTATTTATTTTTTAGAAATTCATACTTTTATCCAGCAATAAAGCATAAGTTATACATTTATAATGTATTTATTTGTATTCCAAATAAATTCTGTTCTTTCTGACTTTCTGTTCAAATAATAATATTTAATTTCATAATAAATGTTTCTTGAGCAGCAAATCAGCATATTAGAATGATTTCTGAAAGATCATGTGACACTGAAGACTGGAGTAATGATGCTGAACATTCAGCTTTGATCACAGGAATACATTACATTTTATAATATATTCACACAGAAAATATTACTTTTAAATTGTAATATTTCACAATATTACTATTTTTACTTTATTTTTTATCAAATACATGGAAGCCTTGGGGAGCATAAAAGACTTTCAAAAACATCTTTAAAACCCACCCAAAACTTGGGTACATTACATTTATGCATTTAGCAGATGATTTTAACTAAAGCGACTTGCAGAAGAGGAATAAAAGCAATTTAAAGAAAAAAAGAAAAATCTAAAACCTAAAATGTTGTAAAATGTAAAGAAAAAAAGGTCAGTTCAATAATAATCACTACTTGTTGTTATTTGTAAATGAGTACATTATTTAAAGTTTAATTACCATTTTGTATTTTAATTTATTAGTTGTTATTATTATTACTATTGTTGTCTTAATATTCGTCGGAAAGGGTTATTATGGGGGAAAAAGTTATAACTTTACTTGTATGAAGCTTTCTGTTAATGCTTTGAAAAAGTTTATAAATAAATTATGACGTACAGACATTTGGACACAAAACCGATACGCTGTCCGCTTCACTCTTACTTTTCTAAATGACCAGAATAGACTTTTGACTCATCATAAATGGAGTTTGAGAACACAGAAGGTGTAGAATTACAGTCACAGCTGTAGAAACGAAGTGTCTTGTGTGTTGCAGGTTATTGTGATGGGTGCGGAGCAGAACGGGCTGCCGGAAGACTACCAGGAGAAACTCAAGTCTATCGAAACCAACAAATATGAGGGACGGCTGTCTGTGATGGAAGAACTGGAGAAAGCTATGAAAAAATCCAAAGAAAGGACACAAGAGATTCTATCTGATGATATACCGTCATAAATGGTGTCTATGTGCACCCTTATCTGTAGTCTACAGAGTGTACACCACATCACAATGCTTACAGACAGGTTAGTTATGTTGTTTATGCAGGACAAGAAAAATGTGCAGTGTTCGTAATGTATGGTAGTACATTGCAAAACAATGAAATTCCATAAAGTATTTACATGCCGGCATTAATTGTGTTGTGTTATTTTTCACTTCTGATTGTCATGTGCCAAAAAACAAAATAAAATAAAAAATAAAATTAGATCTTATTCAACCAATCGTGAGGTTCAGTCTGGGATTTGAACAATATTCTTAACAACTTATTTCCATTCTGATTTTAATGTAGACAACACTGGTTGAAACTTGTTACCACGGTACACACTCACCTAAAGGATTAGGAACACCATACTAATACTGTGTTTGACTCCCTTTCGCCTTCAGAACTGCCTTAATTCTACGTGGCATTGATTCAACAAGGTGCTGAAAGCATTCTTTAGAAATATTCGCCCATATTGATAGGATAGCATCTTGCAGTTCATGGAGATTTGTGGGATGCACATCCAGGGCACGAAGCTCCCGTTCCACCACATCCCAAAGATGCTCTATTGGGTTGAGATCTGGTGACTGTGGGGGCCATTTTAGTACAGTGAACTCATTGTCATGTTCAAGAAACCAATCTGAAATGATTCGAGCTTTGTGACATGGTCCATTATCCTGCTGGAAGTAGCCATCAGAGGATGGGTACATGGTGGCCATAAAGGGATGGACATGGTCAGAAACAATGCTCAGGTAGGCCGTGGCATTTAAACGATGCCCAATTGGCACTAAGGGGCCTAAAGTGTGCCAAGAAAACATCCCCCACACCATTACACCACCACCACCAGCCTGCACAGTGGTAACAAGGCATGATGGATCCATGTTCTCATTCTGTTTATGCCAAATTCTGACTCTACCATCTGAATGTCTCAACAGAAATCGAGACTCATCAGACCAGGCAACATTTTTCCAGTCTTCAACTGTCCAATTTTGGTGAGCTCTTGCAAATTGTAGCCTCTTTTTCCTATTTGTAGTGGAGATGAGTGGTACCCGGTGGGGTCTTCTGCTGTTGTACCCCATCCGCCTCAAGGTTGTGCGTGTTGTGGCTTCACAAATGCTTTGCTGCATACCTCGGTTGTAACGAGTGGTTATTTCAGTCAAAGTTGCTCTTCTATCAGCTTGAATCAGTCGGCCCATTCTCCTCTGACCTCTAGCATCAACAAGGCATTTTCGCCCACAGGACTGCCGCATACTGGATGTTTTTCCCTTTTCACACCATTCTTTGTAAACCCTAGAAATGGTTGTACGTGAAAATCCCAGTAACTGAGCAGATTGTGAAATACTCAGACCGGCCCGTCTGGCACCAACAACCATGCCACGCTCAAAATTGCTCAAATCACCTTTCTTTCCCATTCTGACATTCAGTTTGGAGTTCAGGAGATTGTCTTGACCAGGACCACACCCCTAAATGCATTGAAGCAACTGCCATGTGATTGGTTGATTAGATAATTGCATTAATGAGAAATTGAACAGGTGTTCCTAATAATCCTTTAGGTGAGTGTATTTTTGTAAGAATATTTACATGACATTTCCCAGCTAGAATGTTCTCAGAACTTTAGCTAATGTTGTGGCAAAGTTCTTAACAAACGTTCTTCCAGTAATATTAGGTTAATATAAGGTTATCTGGCCTTTAATAATGTTCTCAAAATGTTAGCACAATAACATTATTTAACTTTTTTGTTTTTACCTTAAACGTGCAGTTGGATGTGTACCTAACAATTTTTTTATATATATATTTTTTTTATGTTTCAGAATGTTTAGATCAGGGGTTTTCAAACTGGAGTCCGGGGACCCATAGGGGGCCACAAGAGAGTGCTAGGAGGTCCATGGAAAAGTTTAGAGAAAATGCAGTATTACATTTTTTTTTTGTTAAAAAAAAACAGATTGATCCAACTAACTAAAGTTTTTTAAATTAAAATAAACAATTGTTATTTAAGTAAAATAAATAAATAAATACATTTGATTAAAATAAATAAAATACAAATAAATAAGAAAATCAGTGTAAAATGTAAAAACAAATACATAAAAATAAGATTAAACATACTAAATAAATCAATTGATTAAAATAAATGAAATATTATTTAAATAAATAAATAATAGGCATATATTCATACATTTGATTAAAATACTTACTTAAATCTGCAACTAACAGTGAATTAAAAACTCAATGAAGTGGGCTAATAGAAACTAAATAGTTTACACATTTATAATATACAATTTTCACAGTATTAATTGGGTCTTTTTACATAAAATTATAGGCTAAAGCCTTTTAAATTTTAGGATGGGGGTCCTCTCATACGAATCATCATATTTTGGGGGTCAGTGGCATCTAAAAGATTGAAAAGCCCTGGTTTAGAATAAATGTGTAGGCTAATGTTCCCATATGTTTACAAAAGGATAAAATGGAATGTTCCATTGGAAATGAACGTTCACATATCCAAGAAAAAAAAAAACGTTTTTATAACATAGATGTTTTGAACGTTTAACATTCGAAATAACGGTTTTATAACTCGATGGGAATGTTAGAAAAACGTTCTTAGAACGAATATTTTTGTTGGCTGGGTAATAGCCTACCAGCAACAATAGCAACAGCAAAATTATGAATTATGAATGACTGAGGGATTTTTTTTTTCTCTGACCTCTCCACACAACTCATACTCAAACAATGTTGACACAGCAGAAGTGAGCAAATCCAGGGTGGGATTCACCAATCCGGGTCACATTTCATGTTAATTTCGCCATGGTTTTAGTTTCACTTCCTAGTTAACATTGTGCGGAACCAAGTAAACAACACTCCGCTCAGTCCGTTTAACCTCACGAACTTTCTAAAGTTTGTACAGATAGCTTCTTTCATTTTCCGTTTTCTTTTGAGTGAGGACATTGAGATGGCTAAACTTACAATACAATATAGCGTCATTGTCTTCTTGAACCTGTGAAAATCTGTTTTAGCTCGTGCTGATTTTGTTCAGACCGACTATGACGGAGCAGTCCAGTTACACCCTGCCCTCGTGTCTCTAAAGAGACTGGTTTAGATTATCATTAGGGTGTTGACTAACTAACCAGCTACAGTGTCCTGCTGTAAAATGGGGTCTTACAAGAAGGGGTCTCACCTGAATCTGCTGACTTTACACCGCGAGCTGCTGGTGGAGCAGGTGAAGAACACGCAGTGTATTCTGGACAATCTCCAGATCAACGGCTTCATCTGCACTGAAGACATCGAGATCATACAGCGCAGCACCACCAAAACTGACCAGGTATACAACACTAAAACGTTATTAAAGTACTGCTATTACCGATAAACAATATTGTACCGGGTAGTACAAAAATAGTAGGCCTACAATATTTATAACAAAATAAACAGAGGTTGAAAGGTAGTTACAAGTACTTGAGTAGCCTACTTTATTCATTCTCTTTAAAAATCTTTTTGATTATAACTAAATTGAGTTCCAGGATGACAATGTCATGATTCATTAGGCTCAAATTATGAAAGAATGGTTGTGAGCGAGCATTAGGAATCATTTTCACACATGAATTGACATCTCTGAGTCCAGACCTTGACATTGAAAGTATTTGGGATGTGCTGGAGGAAACTTTACAGAGTGCTGGACTCTTGCATTGTTAATACAAGATCTTGACCAAAAATTGATGCACGTCTTGATGGAAATAAATGTTGTGATGTCATTTCCATCAAGAGGCGCCCTCTTTAAACGAATGCAGTTAAATTAAGGTTAGGACACTTGAGTAGCTTTTATAAACGTGCTTTAGATAAAAACATTACTGGTGTGAATCTTGAGACAAAAAATGGCACTGACATATTTTAAGATTTCAGCAAACTGCTTAAATAACATCATTTTTGATTTTGATTTGATCACTTTGATTTTATTCAGCTGTAGCAAAATCTGGATGCCTTTGTCCATAAAAAGGGATTTCTTGGAACGTCACAAGTTACTCTTACTTGTCATATTATCTTTCTACTTGCACTCAAGGGAATTACTTTTTAAATAGCAATACTTTCACTTAAGTGCAATCTTTTAGTACTCTTTCCACCTCTAAAACAACTTCCTTAGTTACATTACATAGTTCTTTACAGATAGTTTTATGACAAACATTTTATATTATATAAACATTTATTTGATTTTTTTATATCACACACACATATTAACAACTAATTAAATTAAATGTAAGCATTATGTCTGACAATGACAAAATTAATTGTACTTGACATAAGTACAATTATTATAGTAATTATATAGTTCTTGTAATTTAGTCTTCATTAATTCACTACTAATCAACTCACCTCATTTTTGGACATGCAGGTACGGAAAATTTTGGAGCTGGTTCAGAGTAAAGGAGAGGAGTGCTCAGCATATTTCATGCATATTCTTCATGAAGCATACGATGCTTACATTGATCTGCGGCCTTGGTTTGATGATATTCAGTACACGCCATTAGACACTATTAGTGCCATACCAGTGATTAACACAGACCCAAGTGAGTTTTTTCCCCCATTTAAAATATTTGCATTCATGCACTGAATTTATGAGTTGTTTTGGTGCACTAACGTTTTTCTGCATCTTTGCAGTTAGCAAGTACTGTGAGAAGCTCAGGTGTGAGCTGGGAAGGGACACTCAGTTCATCACGTCCTACTCTAAAAGTGAGGAGACGCCGCTGGAGGATCTTTACATGGACACACAGATGGAGCTCCTGAACGACAGAGGTGAGAGCTTGGGATACTTACAGAGTCTGGATGAGCTACTAGGAGACCAGGGTGTCTTCAACCAGCAGGCTGAGACGATCTTCATCACTGGTGACGCTGGCGTAGGCAAATCAATTGTCCTTCAGAAACTGCAGAACTTGTGGTCCCAAAGGGAGCTGAAGACGCGTGCAAAGTTCTTCTTCAAGTTCAGATGCAGGATGTTCAGTGCCTTCAAGGAGACGGACGAGATCTCGCTGAAGGATCTGATTTTCAAACACAACTGCTATCCAGACGGAGACCTTGATAATGAGGTTTTCACTTACATCTTACGATTCCCAGAGACGGTGGTTTTCACCTTTGATGGATATGACGAAATCCAAATGGATTCCGACTTGGATAATGTGCCTGAAGTGGTCTCTCCGGAAGAAAAGACTCGTCCGCTTCTGCTTCTCATGAATTTGCTTTGCGGAAAATTGCTCAAAGGTTCTCGGAAGATTCTATCGGCACGAAGCGGCACTGAGATCCAAAGCAGAGTAATCCGGAAGAAGGTGTATTTGAAGGGATTTTCACCTGAACACCTGAAGAGATATACAGCTCTCCATTTCCCAGAGATGGAACACAGGACATTGGTGACGGATCAGCTGGACGCCAACCCTCACCTCTGCGGTCTTTGCTCCATCCCGTTGTTCAGCTGGATCATCCTCAAGAGCTTCAAGCATCTTCATTCGGTTTATGATAACTTCGAATTGCCAGACTCTTGCATCACGCTCACAAATGTCTTCTTGCTCCTTTCTGAGGTCTTTCTTGGCCACTCAACTGCACGGCCTGGTCTTTTGAAACGGAGCCCGAGGTGTCCCACGGACACCTTTAAAGCTGGTGAGCAGAAGCTTTCGGCCTTCGCTCGGCTAGCCTTACAGGGTTTGGAAAGGGGTGGACTTGTCTTCAGTATAGAGGAAGTGACATCCTGTGGATTGGACGACGAAGACCTTCAGTTTGGCTTTCTGAGGCCTGCTTCACATTACGATGCATGCGGAGGCTCTGCTACCTTTGAGTTCCTCCATGAGACGCTCCAAGCCTTCTTAGCAGCTTTTTCTCTGGTGCTGGACTCCAAAATCTCTCCTGAATCCATTCTAAGGTTCTTCTCCAAATGCGAATATAAGAAGAAGTCTCATCTCTCCTGCTTGCCTTGTCTGGGAAAGTCAAGACCCAGAGATAAAGACCCGTTCCAGACCAATTTCCAATTCACCAACTTATTTTTATGTGGTCTCTTGTCCAAACCCAACGCTGCACTCCTAGAGCATATCGTTCCACCGGCATCATTGAACCAAAAGCGCAAGATGCTCAAGTCCTATCTGTCCAACAGCGTGCGGACTCATCTTAAGGGCCTCCCTCGTTATCCATCTACAGACATTGAGGGCTACAAGGTGCACGCGATGCCAAATTTCTTGTGGATGCTGCGATGCATTTTTGAGACGAACAGCGAGAATGTGGCCAAGATGACGGCCAACAGCATATCGGCAGATTACATTAAGATTGCCTTCTGTAACATTTACTCGGCCGACTGCAGCGCGTTGAACTTTGTCCTCCACCACCGTAAGAAGCATCTGGGAGTCGACATGGACAACAATAACATCAATGATTATGGTGTGAAGCAGCTTAGGCCCTCTTTCAGCAAAATGACGGTGGTAAGGTAAGAAAAGCCAGGCAGGGTTTAGCTCAACCCAAAGCTTATACAGTATGAAGAACTAGTACGACAAATGACGTTCTTACCTTTCAGATTTTGTGTGAATGAGCTCACAGACAGCAGTATTGAAGTTCTGGCAGAGGAACTCGTCAGACACAAAATCATTAAGGTCTTGGGGTGAGTTCATCCGTCCATCTTTGTTTTGTTGTTTGAGTTTTGTTTAGGCCTCATTCTACCCTGTTCTCTGCATTTACAGCCTTTACAAAAACCACATCACGGATGTTGGAGCCAAACTAGTAGCAAAGATCATTGAAGAATGTCCACACTTGAAGACTGTCAAGTAGGTATCACAGAAACGTACCCTGATAGCACAAGTACGTGTCACATGATCATTCAGAAATCATTCTAAAATGTTGATTTGGTGCTCAATTATTAAAAAAAGTTCATAATCAAACAGTTGTGCTGCTTCATATATTTTTCTCAGGATTCTTTAGAAAGTATTTCTTTGAAATAGATATCATTATAAACATTATAAAAGTCTTTACTGCCACTTTCGATACATTTGTGATGAATTAAATACATTACCCAATTACACAATCATTCAAAAGCTTGGGGTTTCATGGTTTCCACAGAAATATAAAGTAGCACAACTGTTTTCAACATTAATAATGATACAAAATGTTTTTTTAAGCAGCAAATCAGCATATCAGAATGATTTCTGAAGGATCATGTGACACTGAAGACTGGAGTAATGATGTTGAAAATTCAGCTTTGATCACAGGAATGAATTAGTTTAAAATATATTCACATACAAAACAGCGATTTTAAATTGTAATAATATTTAACAATATTACTGTTTTTTGCTGTAATGTTGATTAACAAAATGCTGTGACTTTTTTCAAAAACATAAAAAAAAACTTTAATTACAAACTTTTGAAAGGTAGTGTATGGCATTAAAAATGGATTGGACCAAAAAGTTATTTGATAGACCAGGATTGTTAACGTTTCGACTTTTTAACCATTTAACAAGTGTGTGAATTTTTTCCTGGTTTTGATTAGCATTTTTTGGAGTCTGCACCTTAGATATCGTTACTCTGGCGTGCATCGTTTCCCCTTCGTCTTTGATATGATTAAAAATGGATTGCAATGTTTTTAGATGATACACACTTTAGAAACGACTTGTGCAACAATGTACACATGCTCACTGGGTATATAGAAGTCATGTACATTTATTTCCCATATAGGCTCGGCTGCAACAACATCACAGGTGTGGGTGGGAAATACCTTGCCAGTGCAATTCACAAGAGCAAATCTATCTTTGACATAGGGTGAGAATATCTAAGGGAACATGATACTGCCATACTATCAAACAAAGTTTTACAGATATTATCCAAAAAATATGGTGACATTAAAATTGACATGTAAAATTGGTTGTAGAATGTGGGGTAACTCGATCGGTGACGAGGGGGCAGATGCGTTTGCAGAGGCTTTGAAGAATCACCCCAGCCTGACCAACCTCAGGTATAAAATGACTCGTATGTCTCCATTCTGATCAATTTAGCTGTCAAATTAAGAACAAGCCATCGGAGAATGATTATTGCATTGCTGTTTAGTCTCTCCGCCAATGGCATTACTTCTTTCGGTGGAAGAAGTCTGGCAAAAGCACTGAAGCAAAACACAAGCCTTCACATCTTCTGGTACAACAGAACGTCATATTTTCTCATGCATGTAAAATAATACCCTTTGGATGATTGTTCCCAAATGCATTCTCACAAAATGTGCTTATTTCTCAGGCTGATACAGAACAAAATCTCTGACGATGCAGCGTCAGACATTGCCGACGCCTTCAAGTCCAACTCTGCTCTGACACATCTGATGTACGATCGATTATACCTCAGTAATATCTTTAAAACCGTTTCACTGTTAATATCTTTACAACTGTTTCACATGTGCAGCATGTAAGTGGTCATTTCTGCATCTAATTTACATTGCAATGTAAATGCAATGATGCAAATACTATTTTATTGCTGCATCTCACATGCTTTGCTCAACAGAATCTAATATGCTAATCAACATATAATACATGTAGACTTTATGCCAAGTAATGAACCTCAGGTCTCTGTGTGCACAATATTTGCTCTGACAGATTGAATAATCTATTCTATTCGACTCTCTACAGGCTAATGGAAAACGAGTTGACCATTCACGGAGCCAAACAGCTGTCTGAAGGCTTGACAAACAACACTACACTGAAGGAAGTCAAGTAAGATCTGTGAAACCTAGAGCATTTGCATTATTTTAAGGCATAAAAGTTGTAATAAAAGATAATTCTGCCTTCAAAGACACATTGGTTAAGTCAGATTTTAAAAAGCATTGCATGAGTGCCATTAATGCTCCATCAATGATGGTCGGGTGAAATGTCAAAACTGAAAATTACTGAAAAATTTGCCTTTTTTAACCCAGTATTAGTATTTGTGCAGTGTATTTTATTGCATTGACTTGGCAACATACTCAATTAAAAAATGTTTATTGTGAGTTGAGTCTATGTACACTCTTAAAAATAAGTTATTTGTTGGCATCAATGGTTCTGTAAAATCCACAGAACCTTCCCATTACACAAAAGGTTCTTTATAGTGGAAATTATATTCTTTAGATTATTAAAATGTTCGTCATGCTAAGAGAATCCCCTTTTGTACCTTTTTTGGGAGTGTAGTGTGTACCAAATCACACACTTAAGATGTTTATGTAGGCAGCTCACTAGATCTCGGATCAGAGCCCTAGTTTTCCTTCATAACAAACCTTACACGAGAAGATCACGGCACATGACGATGTCTTCCAGTTTCACACATTTTCTGATTTGTTCACAGCATTAAAGGAAACTGTGTTTCTGAAGAAGAAGAACAACTCTTTGAGGGCGACAAGAGGCTTCGCTTCCACTAAGAAGAAAAAGTAAAACACGTGACTTGACAAAAGACTGTGAGAAAAGAAGGAAGTTGGCAAGAAGACACAGACGTCAGTTTACTTCAATAACAGAAGCACCATCGGCTGCGAAGGCTACACTGATTCAAGAAATGCAGGTTTATTACAGTTGCTCTGTCGTGAGTTTCACACCACAGCCAGAACTCAAGAAATCACATCAAGGCTGGTTTATACTGTATAGATGAAAATGCTGAATGTCATTTTATATATATATTTATGAGTTTGCTCTGAAAAGGGTGACACTTGGGCACTTATTATGGTGCTTTTTCAGTTCAGAGAAATCATTATTAATCATTTTAGTCAATTAGATGATTAAAAACCTGGTAAGTAAAAATATCACCGAGCTCTATTTCACACACGCACACAGAAAGACGTCCAGACAAATATATTTAAAGATCTGTGCTTCAAAGAGCTTGCTTTTTTAATTTCATTATCTCTGTACATAGGTTTTTTTTTTTTTTTTTTTTTTTTTACATATGTGGAATGTTACAATATCTCTAAATCATTAAAAAAAACAATAAAAAAAAACTTTATGATCACTTGGGTGGTCACTGTTAACATACATACACAAGCTCCTGTTTGTTTGCTTTGCATCAGGTTCCTCCACATTGCTTTAAGGATAAATCTAGATCAGATAGATCTTTACCTGATGGAGTTTGGTAGCACATTAAACATAAAAACAGAAAAGACACTCCATCTTCTATATCAAAAGATCCAGTCGGATGTATCAGGGCTCAGATCTGCTGGGAACAGACGTTTGCACAAAGCAGCAAAAATATGAAAGAACATCAAAAATTAGAAATGTTATTAAATGATATGTCATAAAAGGTGTTTTGGAAGTGGTCTGGTAAGGCTTTTTAAAAATAGTGGTGTTTCCCGTGAGCAATGATGTCATCCATCTTCTGTTACATGACCAGAAAACGAAAAACGGCATCTTCCAGCTGTGCTGGTGTGACTCCAATGAACCTGGCTTGGACTCGCACTGACACCGGTTCTCATCACCCTCAACATACATGATTAGCAGCATTTTAAAGCTATTATGGCACCTTTGATATGCCGGGCTGTACTACAGTAATACTCTGACAGTGGGAACACTGCGAATTAAACATTTTCTTCCTCAGTATTTTTAGTAAAATATCAAGCAAATATATTATATAAAGTTTTGCTTTCCTAAAAAAACAAAAAAACAAGCGAGATTATGCTCAAGAACACATATCTGACAGTGGGGTAAAAAAATAATCTTGTTTTTCTTGTGAATTGAAGCTGATTTTTCTGACCCAATTATTTTTTAAAGCATAAACTTAATTTTGAAATAATTGCCAGAAAACAAGACTTAAGTTAATATCTTAAGTAATTTGTGCATTTCAAGTAAATGTTTGTCGATTTAAGAATTATTAGATATTTGTACTGGAAAACAAGACAAAAATAATGAGGAAGAAAATCTTTTTTTTTTTGCAGTGAAGATTCTTTCCAATTCAGCTTTAATGGTCCATGACTAGTCCACAGGTCAAATTCAACACCTCATCTAAACCCAACCACGTAAGGCTTTACGTGAGACTGGTAAAAATAGAATGAATGTAAAGCTATATAAAAAAAAAAAAATCCCTTGTAGAATCGCAGATTAGTAACTCTAAAAAACTAGTTAGTGCATTTGTTTGAAGCTGTCAAAGCCTACTGGAGAACGACCACCTTTCTCCCAAACATTATGACGTGGATCTTGGGAAAAGCAGCTGAAATGTGACTGTTTAAATGATATAAAATCACACACATGCCGTTCAGACTCTATAATTTAGATCAAACTATATGAACTGCACAAAATAAACAGATTGAGAAACTGGTGATAAAATCCCAAAGACAACAGAGACATGAAGCTTGTTCCAGCAGCTACAGGTGAATTCAAGACGAACGCAAAGACAGAATTATTCGGCACAATCTCAGGTCACATTTCAACACAAATAATCAAAGCCATTAACATGTCACATCATTTTCATAACAATCAAGCACATTTTCAATCAGTTCTGTAATGCAGAACATACGAGTTATTACTGGAATACAACGTTTTTTTAAATGTAAATCAGCATAAATTGAGAGCAGTTCAATGAATACTATCATGATGTATAAATACTTATACTGAAGGGATGAAAAAAATATGTATAATTGTCATGAAAATGTGTTGCAATGCGAAAATTATTAAGCTTTAAAATTAATCCCTTTGATTTTGAGGTGAAATATGACCTGGAGATTTTGTGAGATTCACTCATTTGGCCTGATGTGGATGTCCATCATATAAAATGGATGATCATGTGATTTGATGCATGTACAATGTGTAAAAATAAACATAAGCCCTATGTGACATCATAGCTGAAGAGTGAATCTCACCAAACCTGTCAAGAAATGTCATTTTTCATCACAAAATTATTTTTCGCTTAAAGAAAAAGGAGATTTTATGACCCGTAGCATTTTTATTTTACATTATTTTCATAATTAACCTCACCCTGATTTCTCGATATGTAAGATTCAATATATCATAATTAATATCATCATGGTAGTATTTTCTGCGCCACCTTTATTTATTCTGATTTTAATAAAAAATAATTGCATTACATTAATATTCCCCAAAACAGACTTTTTTTCATTATGCAAAATATAATTTAGATTTTTTTTTTCTTCTGATTTTGACCTGGACATGTTTTGATGAGATTCACCCAAAATAATGTGTTGAATTAAGGCCCAGATTTGTCTCAAGACAAAACGTTGAATGATCATATGATGCACCTGCAGAAGTGATCTTGAGATGTTCAGAGATCATGGAGAACCATGCGAGAGGCTACAGTGAATCTTTATCTGACATATATTGCTACGAGACTCGAGATGTACAGGACATTCGTCCGTCTGGGAATCGAGAGAGACAAACGGCTCCAATGGAAACACGACCACGCCAGTGTTATGAAAGACAGGGCACTTCTCAGTTTGACCTGAATCAGGGGTCACGTGTCCGTCATATCCAGGTGTCTTTCTCCGAACATCCGAAACGCAGCCACTTCGGCCCTTGAGATCTGAAAATTAAGGCACTGAGAGAGACAGTCCCATTTACCAGAAAGTTTTGCAGAACAATCAAATCACCCGATCATCCAATAATCAACGACATAAGAGTCAGCTGACCCTGAGTCCGGCCAATCAAAGAACGTAAAACAGCCAATGAAACGAACTTCAGATCAGCCTTCTTCACAAGTTTCTGATTGGAAAACTGTGCAATGGAGGAGAAAATCTCAAGGGTCTCATCCTCTATTGTGGTTTTCATAGGTCTGTGATGTGGAAAGAGTTTCCCTGAATGAGTTTTGGCACACTAGGGTTTGTATGGCGACTAGGGAGAGTCGTGCTACGAGAAGAGAGGGGCGTTCTGTGATCAGGCCGTCCTGCTCGGCCTGAAGAGACCAAAATCACAGTGTCTGTGAGGAGGAAGAGAATTCACATTGCTGTCCGCTAGTGGGACACGTCGCTTCTCACGACCAGGAGGCTAGAGACATGAAACACAACGCAAACAATTAAACAGTGTTATAATGGTTTAAGGCAAGACCATTGGGGTTTTTTTTTTAATGAACTGGTCAATTTTGAGATTTTGGGCCATTTTGCTTCCATAACGCGTCTTCTTTCAGACTAGTGGGGGGAAAAAAGTCAAAATACACATTTAAGTGTTTATGGTTTTATCTGTAGATTTCAATGACAATACATATCTTTACAGGCGGCGAGTCACAAATCTTCACTTCTGCAGCTTTACACCAAGCTTTATAGTTTTATTCATATCTATTTTTTGAATGGTTTTACATAGAGGTTTGTTCTTCTTATATCATTCGCCTGATTTATAGAACATTTTATTCCTAAAAACATGGTGAAAACTTGTGTTTTCTGGCTGTAGACAGTACTTTCTGATTTATTTACTGTGCAAAAAAGGAGATATCCATGTAAAAACCACATGTTGCACAAAATGAAACATGAATTTGGGGTAACACTTTGTTTTAAGGTGACAATTACATTTTTCTACATGTACTTACTATAGTAATAACAGTAAATTATGCATAATTACAAGTAACTAACCCTAAACCAAACCCTAACACTCTATAGTAGGTACATGTAGTTACTTAATATTAATCAGTACTTATTTGAGTAAGTACAATGCAACTACGTCACCTTAAAATAAATTGTAACTGAATTTTTATCCTGGCTTTAACCAATGTTCATATTTATATTCTGGAAATGTATACAAATTAGTGTATATTTAATTATATAATGCCTCATTTATATTTTTAAACATAACATCACACACAATTAGTAATATAATTTTTTTTAGCATTTCTTAATGTAATTAATCAGCTTGGGAAGTACTGTGATATCCATGTTTTTTTATTATTACACTATTCACCTGGAGTGTCTTGCCTTATAATAATAATAATAACTGCATAATAATAATAATAATAACTGCATGCAGTTGAAGACAACATTAAACTGTTTTAGCTAGTTTGAGTCTTTAGTTTTGAACTCTAAAGTAATGTATATTTCTGTTTTTACACCGATTTCAGATTCATAAATAATCAGTTAATATGAAATAATTTTACCATGACATAAAATTACTCATGCAATTTTGAATAGCATATAACATACATGTGACATTATATTAACGTTTTATATATAGTGTGTTGATTAAATCAATACGACTAGGGACATTTATTTTTTATAAACAGTGTTCATTTTTATTTAAAAGCACATGCATTTAAATGCCATCGTGTAAATAAGTCTCTCTGACATTATTGATGTAAACATGAATTCACTTGATTCAGGAGTGTGAATGTGTGTTACCTGTGCAAAGGTGAGAGTGACGCTTTTAATCTGAAGGATGTTCAGGACACGATCGGTTCACTTCAAACCACTCATCAATACAGCTGAAAGAAAGCAGTGTTAATATAAGAGAAAACAAACTCACGTCACTTACACACACACACACACACACACACACACACACACACACACACACACACACACACACACACACACACACACACACACACACACACACACACACACACACACACACACACGTGAAGAGCTTTACCCTTTGTGATAGATGCAGAGGCAGGGCAGGCGAGCGATGGTGTCTCCCTGGACCAGATCCTCCAGACATATTGCACATTCTCCTGCGTCCTTCGACAGGACGTCCTCTGAGAAACGACAAAGAGGAACACTCAAAATCAGTCTCTGAGTGTAATCAAACTCAGAAAGATTGCAAGTAATTCATAAATCAGTGAGACACTTCACTTCAGGTTACCGAATTGAAACTGCAAATAAATGCAAGTCACTCTGCATAAACACGTCACATCAATGACTGTTACATCTAATAATTTTCATGATTCTTCTGTGTAAATCATTCATGACAGACACCTGAAATGCTTTGAATTAAAGACAACAAGTTTCCCAGAATTGAACTTGTGTTTCATGAATCAGGCCCAACATGTGGGAGTCAAAGTATCTTTATAAATGAGCAGAAGGTGGCGCTGAAGACCAATGTTTCTGACCACCGACTCGGTCCTGCTGTTTACATGCAGAAAAACTGCACAGGGTCCAAATCAAAATCTGTAATGTGATGTATTTCAGCATGAAATTAGATATTAAATGAGCAAAAATGCATTAATTGGATGGTGAAAAGTGTCTATTAAATGAGTTTGTGAAAATAGATTAACAGATAGAATAGAACATAATGAAGTAAATAAGATCAAGTTTGATTTGAGGCTGAAAACTGAAGCAAAAATAAGAGCTAATGTTTTGAGTTCAATAAACCCAGATGACAGCGGCCAGTGTTTGTTGGCAGACTGAGGTGAACACACACCTGTGGCCCTTCACACGGGATCATATGAGGATTTACATATAAACACTTACACTTTACAGCCTGAAGGCCCTCATTCACACAGTTGAATATTCATGAGACATATGACTGTGAATCGAAACTAGATTTGCATAACCTGAAGGAATAACCTAAAGATTGAGGTTGTTCAGGTTGTGGTACTTTTAGGTTCAGAATAAACAAAATGTAACACCCCGGCAACCACTCACAACACCCTAACGACCACATAACATCCCGACAACCACTCAACACCCTAACGACAACATAACACACCGGCAACCACTCAAAACCCCCTAACGTCCACATAACACCCCAGCAACCACTCACAACACCCTAACGACCACATAACACCCCGGCAACCACTCACAACACCCTAAAGACCACACAACACCCCGGCAACCACTCACAACACCCTAACACCCCGGCAAACACTCACAACACCCTAACGACCACATAACACCCCGGCAACCACTCACAACACCCTAACGACCACATAACACCCCGGCAACCACTCACAACACCCTAACACCCCGGCAACCACTTACAACACCCTAACGACCACATAACACACCGGCAACCACTCACAACACCCTAACGACCACATAACACCCCGGCAACCACTCCTAACACCCTAACGACCACATAACACCCCGGCAACCACTCCTAACACCCTAACGACCACACCGGCAACCACTCACAACACCCTAACGACTACATGACACCCCAGCAACCACCCACAGCACCCTAACGACAACATAACACCCCGGCAACCACTCACAACACCCTAACACCCCGGCAACCACTCACCACTCACAACACCCTAACGACCACATAACACCCCGGCAACCACTCACAACACCCTAACGACCACATAACACACCGGCAACCACTCACAACACCCCGGCAACCACTCACAACAACCTAACGACCACATAACACACCGGCAACCCCTCACAACACCCTAACGACCACATAACACCCCGGCAACCACTCCTAACACCCTAACGACCACATAACACCCCGGCAACCACTCCTAACACCCTAACGACCACACCGGCAACCACTCACAACACCCTAACGACTACATGACACCCCAGCAACCACCCACAGCACCCTAACGACAACATAACACCCCGGCAACCACTCACAACACCCTAACACCCCGGCAACCACTCAACACCCTAACGACCACATAACACCCCGGCACCCACTCACAACACCCTAACGACCACATAACACACCGGCAACCACTCACAACACCCTAACGACCACATAACACCCTTGCAAACCACTCACAACACCCTAACGACCACATAACACCCCGGCAACCACCCATAGCACCCTAATGACCACATAACACCCCGGCAACCACGTACAGCACCCTAACGACCACATAACACCCCGGCAACCACCCACAGCACCCTAACGACCACATAAAACCCTGGCAACAACCCACAGCACCCTAGCGACCACATAACACCCCAGCGACCGCATAACACCCCAGCAACCACGCACAACACCCTAACGACTACATAACACCCGGGCAACCACCCACAACACCTTAAGAACCACATAATACCCCGACAACCACCCACAGCACCCTAACAACCACATAACACCCTAACAACCACCAGCAGCACCAGAACAAACACATAACACCCTAGCAATCACCCACAGCACCCCAACAACATCAGCAGCTCATTTTTAGCAAATCTAATTTACATAAACCATGAGCATTTTGAGATGCTGTATCAAGTTAAAAAGAGGATTTAATTTTAAAATCGTTTCTTCAGTCTCCCGTGTAGATTTCCCTCTGCATCTGACATGAATCATAAGTACAAGACTGACGTTTGTTCCTAGACATGCTGATTCAGTGATAATCGGTCAGATGAACGTGAACTGTGGTAGTCCGTGTGCGTCACTGCTGCTTGCTTTCAACTCTATATCACTCTACACTTTAGTGATTGATGGTGAATCAATGTTCCTTACACACTGAAAACGGAGCACACGCAACAAAAACAAATCATGACATGCGACACGAAACTCTCAGAATCTCAGTCTTGCATTACACTGCTTGTTCAGAACAAAGCAAATACACTTTAGAGGAAACTGAACAATTTGTGCTTCAGTGAGTTAACTCAATTGACTCTTCACGCCGACTGCATGTGTGTTTTTGCTAAAACCTAAATATTATGTAATATTCCAGTATATTATTCTCCCATAGTAAACTGTGGTTGCAAGAAAACACTTTGTCATATATCTAAAAACTGTCAATCACAAATAATTACATTCTATTATAAAGTAGTACATTATATATACACTAACTCTAGTAAGCAAAGCATAACTTTTTAGTAATGAGTTCTAGAAGCTTTAAATACCTTTAGTGTGAAGGTGGTAAACAAAAGGTAAACAAAATATACATGATTCATGTAAATCATGATTTTAATAACCAGGCACTTCCTAAAAGAAAAGAAAATGAATGTCAATATCAATGCTTGAGTATCTGAGAGTTTGTACATTCAGCAAACAGAGATATTAATAGTCTAACTGGAAATTATCATCATCTTATGCTAATATGACTAGAGTTCATTAGTGGGTGGGAATCCCCAAGGAATAAACATCATATATCAAACAGAAGTGATCCGACACAAATACCGACCGGATTAGAGTCGTAATGTTATACGGAGACGCGCATAAGCTCTCACACTATTCTCATCTATCAGGACAGTGACGTTTATATGCGTGTCCTGAACTCTTAAAGGTGAAGTGTGCAAATTAATGTTGCCTACATTATATGAACTCAAACATTTCTCATAAATTGATTTCATTAATTAATTGTATAGTTCTATACTCTATTACTGTAAAACTATTGACTCATTTGGGCCTGTTTTTATTTCCCATAATGAATTTTAGAAACATCTCAGACCAAGTTAATACTTGAATGAAACAAATCTGAGAACTCCATTACATCTCCCAGAGTTTTGAAAGAGAAATTTCATTTTACCAAATACTTCATAAATAATATTTATATTTAAAATGGGTTCTAATGAGACGAATTCTGTATTTTTCAGAGTATTCCTGTAATATTAACACCATCTTGCTGAGCAATCTGCAGAGATGCGTATCAGAGCTGTGAATGTCACTGGGAACGCTGCTAAACCGCCGAGGCTGTGACATCTGCGACACTCGCTGGCTAAAATAAACAGAGTCATTAACTGTTACATAATACTGGATAAACCTTCCCGCTATGGCCGGCGCATGAGCGATACTGTGACTGGGTCACATGAGACGGCAGATGACAGCGGCGCATGGACTCTGAGCGACTGACCACAAGTGCACAGGGTCGAATTCCCACTGGGAACTTTCCAGATCTGGGAACACATGAATAACATGGCAAACCAAGAGCTGAGCTGGCCTTATCGGGCCAATCTCACCCGTCAAGAACAAATCTGGGTCGTATTAAATCTAAATAAATCATACAAATATATATTTTGTAAAATCTATAATTATATTTCCCAACCGTCTCTTAAATATATAAGAGGCCGTTAGGATGGAGCGCACTAAAAACCTGTCAGGAATGCGTCTGGGTTATATTCACCCTAAATCAAAAAAGAAAAAAATGCAAAATCCAAAAGAAGATGGTATCATTAAAACATTAGTTTAATAACAAATAAGCTCATTTAGCTCCAAAATTTACTTCAACGAGAAAGCTAAAATCTTATTGGAAAATGAGAATGCAAAAAAAGTATTTTAGCAATAGTACATATTTGTAAAAAAAACTATTTTTTGAGAATACCTTTGAGAGTACAAGGAATAACACACACACAAATTAAAGTGCCCCTTTGAAAGGTTCCTAATTTAGTTTTGGAGTCTCCTACAATAGGTTTACATGCAACCAAGCTCAAAAAACACTTTCATTTTTTTCATAATATACATTTCAGCATAACCTCTTTTCACAGTGTCTGAAATGGTTCGATCAAGAATTCGGTCTCTCTAAACCCCTCCTTTCCTTTCCTAGGGTCTACTCTGCTCTGATTGGTCAGATGGCCCAGTTTGTTGTGATTGGTCTACCGCTTACAGCACGTGTCGGAAACGAAACCCTCATTAGCATATCAGAATTTCAGCTCCAGAGGCTTCCTCAGCGCCTGATACATGTGATACTAACAATAATAACAGCGTCAGTCCTTGTCATATGGAAGTGCTTGCAAAGTGAGTTTGCTTTTGCAGCGCAGAAAACAGCTTCTTCTGGACATTAACAACACAAACCAAACTCTTCCAGGACTCAGCTACAACTGCAGTGTTTGAGGGCGGGTCAAAGTA